TTCTTTATATGCATAATACATTGGAACTGCAGTTTAGGAAGCTCTTTGTCATTGATGTTCAGATATTTTTTCAAATTTCTGCTGGTGTTCTTTTGCTGTGCAGCATTTTCTCATTGACCTGTGTCTCTGCAGCTGTGGTTATGTATTAAGCAAATAAATAATCTCAAAATTGACGAAGAAATACTCAAAAATCAGCCCACTGGGAGATGAAATATTGCCACAGATGTCAAAAATGTATTCATCATCCTCAAAATCCCCCCCAAAAACACTCCTATATCGTTCGAATCAGCCAAACAATTACTGACATTCTGGCAATACAGCTGAATATTAATGCGAACTATGCTAATTGACCAACATATGCAAGTAAGCATCTGTCAGTGTGTAAATGCTGGAGATGCAGACTGTATATTTCTAACACACAATAGGACAATAGGATTCTACTGGCTGATATAAACGGCTCATTCAGCTCAATACTAAATCCACTCATCTGACAGTTTCCATGGCAGAGTAGAAATGTTGTTGGCACTTTGAGCTGCAGTATCTAAGAAATGACATTCACAATGCTCTTTAGTCTGTGGGGTTGGTTGAAGACTAGAGGAATACTCTTCATGTTGCTGTTTCACTTCTATTTGACTGACTTTGAAAAGCTCCTCAACAGTTGAAATGTTGCTCTTTTTCCAAGTCTACTATATCCAGTCAGAGCATGCAGTGGCAGCTAGTCCAATAATCCAAAATCAATCCTGTTACCTTGGCAGCTGCTGCTGAATTCACATCCACATCAGCTCCCAGAGACTTTCTACCTTCATCTGTAGAGGAAACACTGAGAGCAGAGCTGCAAGCATCAGTCCAATCACTGATCAGCACTGAGAACTCATCATCACTCATTCATCCTTTACATCAGTGGTTCCCAACCTTTTTCTATCACTGAGTAAACTGACGACCCCTGACTGAGGGACATATTTTATACATATTTCATATTATATCCAAACTGTACAATCAACCCAAATATTGAACTCAGTAACTGCAAGAAGTTGAAGTTGATTCTGATGAATTCTGAGCAGATTATTTCCTGTTTAGGGAACTTTTTATACAGTTTGTCTGTGTTATGTATCTTTTATCATTTTTAACAATCATAAATACTTAATATGCTTCTTTTTGGACAAATTCACTGTTTTCTTGTCCCTGATGACAGTTTACTTTACATTGACTTTTCTTCACAGAAGTGAACCAGATGCTGAGATATAGGCCGACCTACAGACCCCCATGAAGCTTTGGAGACCACTAGCGGGGGGTTCCGACCCTCAGGTTGGGAACCACTGATTTACATCATTTCTGCTGTAAAACTATCAGCTGCTTCTCCACTGATTGGCTGCTTCTCTCTGTTTCCTCTCAGTGTCAGTTGAATCCCTTTGTCTTGTTGGACTGTTGCTCAGACTAAAGAAGCAGTTAGAAAACATGACTGTGAACTCTGGGAACTACTGATGGCCTTTTCTCATCACTGTCACACATTGCAAACTAATCAATACATGGATCAATAGTGGTTTGTTATTGGCCAGAGGAGATGCTGCTGGTTCTCATTGGTCAGTGTTGAGGAAGAATGAGAGCAGAAAGCTGCCATCAGCTGCTCTACTTCTACTATCAGTCCACTAGATGGCCTCATGGAGCTGAATTTATCTGACAGCTTTACTTCCTGCTTACTTTTCAAACATGGGATCAGTTTATAAAATAGAATTCATTATTTTATATTCAAGCAGCCAAAAGTATTTGAAGTAGTTCATATTGGCTCCACCTGCAGCAACTCCAACATTAAAGTACTGATTACATGTTAATGCATCAATAATAATCATCCACTAATATAATAATACAACACTGACAGAGGCCATTCTGTACACTGACTACTTTCACTTTACATACTTCAACTACATTGATAAGGTGAGCTCATAAAGACAGACAGAAATCATACAGTGAGTACTCTGAGTACTGTCAGTGAGTACTCTGATTACTTTGAACAGTGACACACTGACAGTAAGATGGAGGAAACTCTTCCTCCATGTTGGTTCTCAGTTGACTGTTAGTAGAGTTTTCTGCTCTTTCTACTGAACTAAACTAACAAGATGAACAAACAGTGAAAAGTGTCTCTTACTAACCTTCACATGGACAGAAGAAGAAGCTGCGACACGACGAGCTCACAAAGTGAAAGTAAACTGTGGACAGGAAGTGGCTGTGACGTCCCGGTTGTCAGGGCAACGGCAGGTGTGGGGAGTGGAGTGTCTGCAGAGAGAGACTGGGAGCTTCAACTACATTGTGCTGATAATACTTCTGTAACCGAGGAACTTTTTAATGCAGCACTTTAAGTTGTAATGGAGTATTTCTGTAGTGTAGTATTACTACTTTTACTATTTTCAGCTTTGAACTGTTGGTCAGACAACATTGTGTCACTGTGGGCTCTGGATGATTGTAACGGGCATTTCTCAATATTTACATATATTTTAGATTAATGACAATAATAATTAGTCACAGTCCTTCCTCAATAGTAGAAATCAGCTCCACCTGAGCAGCTACAACAGCCAAATACAGCAGTAATAATAATCTAATGATAGAATATAATATAGTGTAACAGCTGTAGTTCCTTACTCCCCCCAGGGTGTCCTGACTCAATCCTGTGTTCCTCTAATCCAAGTCTACAGGAGGACGCACTGGTCCCTGAGGCCTCTGGTTACTGGTTGAGGGTCAGTCCCCATACTGGGGTCAGAGGCCCGACCCTCCACCACAGGGAGCTTTAAACCTGCTGTGTCGTGGGGAAAATCTCTGTTTTCAACCCCAGAGGAGAAGACCTCCAGTTGATCCTACTCTCTATGATCTCTTCTAACCTCTGACACTCTCCAGTTTAAAGGATATCACACATACAGAAAGGCAGTTCTCATCATATATGACCTCTGTACAATGAACATATACAGATATCAAACATTTCTGATGCCCAACTCAGTGAGTGCCTGTATAAGTCCTTTATTTGTCTCTGTGGGGCAACAACAGTAACACAGGGTGAGACATACAGATAGAAAGAAAGACAAATAGAGCACATAAACTGATCTTCAGTCAGCAGACAGCTGGCAGCAGATATATCTACACTGTGAGGATAAAAAGACAACAAAACTGTAATTAAATTTCTTTTGATTATAATAAAATCAAACTATGATTAATGGAATAAAAGGAGGGTCATCCTGAGTTCTGTTATCATATGCAACCCAGCCGGGTCCATTCCACCAAATCTGTGCCAATTCATTCCTTATAGCTTTTCAGCAATCTATCTAATAACACATATTTACACATGATTTAGCATTTTTCAAAACAGGAAAAATAATTTCCTGCATCGTTTTAGTAAATTGATTAAATGTAGCCACCTAGCATTAATGTTAATAGCACGAGAACACTGAGCACCTTCAGGTCGTTTATCTAAAAAAATAAAACTAAATCTAAGAAATCATTTAGGTAACAGCATTTAGACGTCGGTTATTCTTACAACATGATCAAAAATGCAGAACGTAGAGTGAGAGAAGTTACTTTTATTTTCGTCCCATGACCTTCAGTAGATTGAACTGATGCTACTTCTTTTTGATCATGTTCCTCGTGAAATGTCCCACAGACCTGGGAGTGACAAAGGGTTCCGGTGGCTGTGAAACTGTGTGAAAGGACCTTTCTAAAGCCAGTGTTTGGTTCGTCAAACCTCCTACATTTTACACACTGGACCTTTAACCTCACCTTCTGAGCAGTTTCAGCCTGCTGCCAGTTACTTATAAGACATTTTGCTATTACCTCCTTACTAGTTATTCAAAAAGATGACATAAAACAGTGACAACAATGCAAGCCTGTGATTCCTTCATTACTGTTACTTCACACACTGAGGTGATCACCAACACAGTCCACCACTAGCAGAAATTATACAGTCAAGAGTTCCTGCCACTTTCTGGACAAACAGGACCTCCATGAACCAAACACACACACCATCCAACACCAGATGTCCCAGAACCTCCAAACTGTGTTCAAACTTTAACAAATACACTCAAATAATCAATAATAACATATCTGATACTGAAGAAGGGTTTAATACAGAAAGACATACAGGATGACAAGATAAACAGATTAATTAGAGCTCAGAGGTGTTTCAGTTGGACGCCGAATTCATCTTCCCGTCTCTAAACCCCAGATTTAACAGAAAAACTTGTGTTTTGACTCGTTGTATTAATCTGCAGACTCTAATGTACAGCATACTGTCAATGTTCAGACTACAACAGCGCCCTCCTCCATACACTGCTCATAGGCTGACACCTGCTGGTGACTTTATGGAACTGCACGGAGGTGACACGGTCTTCTTTCTAAATTGTAATATTGACTCACACGGGCCTTAAGGCGCTGCCAGTGTTTGTGTGGGATGAATGCGCACCCTGCTGGTGAAACTAAGCAACTACATCTGAAATCTACTAGGCTGTATCGCTCTACACATTGTTAAACTGTAAAAACTGGGGATTGCACTGTGTGTGTAACTAATGGGCGTTACATACATATTAAAAGTAAGAATTAATAGTGAATTTTTAACTCTGATACACCGGCACAAAAAAATACATATTTCTCTATTATGTTCTTTCTGTAAAACAGAAATCAAATCTGTCTCTCATCTATTCCTTAAACGGACTCACAAGAGTTCTGGATTGAAGTTGATTTATTCATTTTAACCAGATTAACACCCATTAATGTCAGAAAGTCCTGTTTCATATTAATGTTTTAACAAATTGAACTAATAGAATGATATTTGAATAAATCTGTTCTAACAAACAATATTGTCACAGACATGAAAACAGAGTTAAACTGTTTCAGCTCAGCTAATATTTGAGGAAGGAATAAAACACATAGTTTATCTCACACATTAAACAGTAAGCCTTAAACTTACTTTCTCAGAGTTTTCTGTAGAAACACAGTAAGTGATTAAAAACTCCACACTAGAGGAAATTCATGGTTCTTTTATTTTAACATGGTGAATATTACTATGAAATTTACACTTTAACCATCAAAATGTTTCCCTTTACGCATTTAACATGAACCACAGAAAATACTAGAATTGTCTGTACAAAATGGAATTAACTTAGTAGCTAACACACGAGCAGCAAACAAAGTGAGAAGCTGAGAAGGAAACCCGTTTCACTTTCAGCTGGCAACTGCTCATCCTCAGTAATCGTTATCACTTCTTACTGCTTCTCAACTCTTATGAAGCTCAAAGTTATTACACGGAGCGTCTACTTCAAGTTCCACATTGAGGCTCAGAGGTCGTCTCTCTCTCTCTCTGTGTCACGTACACCTCTCCCTGCTCGCCAAAAGCACCCCAAAACCTCCTGTCAATCATAGCGAGGGCCGGAAGTTGGTGAAACAAACCTTTAGTAGTTAGGGCCCGAGCACTGACCGTGCGATGGCACTATTGTAATTGGCAGGAAAAATAATTTTTGTCAAACAAACGCATTTTTGGAGGCTTTCCCGTGCTCGAAAACTCATGAAATGCACATGAGCATGACAAATTGGCCCCTCTCAGGGGCCCATAAACTGTGCCACCCAGGTCCCCTTTCACTGATATGCATAGAAATCGGCACATGCGTAGATCTTATCCAGACGTACAAAAAATGAAATGAGGGAGTTGTCATAATGAATTGGCCCTATACAAATAGAATAGAATAGAGTTGAATTGAATTAATGCCAACATGTCAGTTTGATCACTTCTATATTTGTTGAATGATTCTTTATGGAATGATTGATTTCCTCACTACAGCTGCTCCACAAGTTCACCTCTTTAACACAAGGGATTTCTGACATCAGTCCTTAAAGCTGCAGATTCCTCTCAAATCATTTGGACTTTCTGTCATTTCAAACAACTTTTGGACTCTTTCAGCTCGTCATTAGTTTCTGACTTTATACCTGATCTGTTCTGTTCATTGAACAAACAGCTGAGTTGGTTCTTGATCAGTAGTTTGGTTTACACTTCTTATGTCTCTCTGTTCAAATGTAAAAATCTGATTAGTGTTTGTTTTATATGAGTTTCCCCAAACGATTTAACTAATCCTTCATTTTATACAGTGTTGGATCCATTTGGACAGTTTTGCTTTGACATCATTTAGATGTGGTTTCCAGCATCATTTATTATCTGGAATCAACCCAAAACTTTGATTTCTTTTGATTTCAACCTGACTTATCAAAGTTTGTACATTTGTTCCACGATGACCAAAGATGATGAATTTAGTTCAAATCAAAGCCACTCTTTACTCCTTGGAACTATTTTTACACAGATGCTGAATGTGATCCTGAAAGACTCTTGTTTGACATCTGAACACATTTTTTCTTCACAGAAACAAAAGTTTTAAGGCAACAAAGTTCAGTTTTAGACTCAAAGTTGAATATTTGTTCACACTTTAATATTTGAGTCATAAAAACACTTTCCCTCTAACTGTGCTTTCAAAAAGAAGAAGATTTGAAAAACAAGCAGCCACATTTGATCCTAAAAATGTTCATTTTTCTCAGAGTTATAGAAGAAGATCAATTCTTTCTATCATTTCTTTCATCTCTACGTCTGCAGGCTGCACATTACCCTCACACATGATCCCTTCATCCCAGCATCCTTTGCTCTTCTCTTCCTTCAGCCTCCTCTTCCTCCTCTATTACAGTAAACACATCAGGTTGGTACTAACTAACATCAGCTGTGTGTGATCCTGTACAGACTGAACTATCTGGTCAGCAGTGAGAAAGTTTCTCTCTCCCTCCTACAGAGGACACAGAGACAATGAGGAACTGTAAGACCAGAACCTAAACCCAGGATAAAGAGTTTCAGTGAATGTGGTGTTGAAGGTGTGGAGGTGGATCAGTGTGTCAGAGGAGACTGTGTAGAAGGACAGAGTGCCAGCAGGACAGTCCACATACACTGCTACTCTACCAGAGGAGGAGGAGGAGGAGGAGGAGGAGGAGGAGGAGGAGGAGGAGGAGGAGGAGGAGGAGGGTGTTTTTATGTCATTGTGACAGACAGAGTAACGACCATCAGAGCACTCCAGTCTCCAGGACTGATCATTCCTTCCAAACAAACAGTCTGTACTGTCTCCTCTCCTCCTGATTCCTCTGTAACTCACTGATATATCAACTCTTCCTCTCCACTCGACCTCCCAGTAACAGCGACCAGTCAGACCATTTCTACACAGCAGCTGACGCCACCAGTCAAATCTGTCTGGATGAACAGGATATGACTGATCCTCCTCCACAGCTGTCATCTTCCTGCTGTTGTCAGACAGTTTGATGTTTCTGTTCACTGTGTTTGTGTCGACTGTGAGTTCACAGGAATCTGATGGAGAGAACAAGACACAATACAGCTGCAGTTATTGATCTATCATCTGATCATTGATTGACACTTTGATGATGACATCAGAGCTGTGAATGAGTGATGTCACAGTGTGAAGATGGTTGAATGTGTGCTGCTTTGTTTTCACACTTACACTTCCTCAGACCTGGTCTCAACCATCGGACTCCAGCAGGCTCCACCCTGAAAGGAGGAGGGGGGTCAGAGCAGCATGGAAACATGGACATTACATCGCTCTCATACACAGAGCTTATTCTCTACAAATGGACTTACATCTTCACATGGAGCACTTATTATTAATCAGCTGATAGTCTTTCAGTTCAGTGGAGCTTCTTCTGATTGGCCGATGGCTACAGCTCATTATTTTCACTTATTGATGATCTATTATTATTATCAGTATTATATTGATGATCATCATAAAGTTCAGACTCAGTTTCCTCTACCAGTCAGTCAGTAAATTAAATGATTAAACCTGCATCAACTGATTTATTTGTCCACTTGGGGTTCAGTTTATAAAGTAGTTGTGTCTAATGTAACCAGGTTGAAAGTATATCTTTATTTTTTTTGACTGAAACAAAGTCCTGACAAATATCCAAGAATCTGAGTTTGATGAAGTTCATAACATGTTTTGTACATTTGAACAGTATATTTGAACTGAAGTGTTAATACCTGTACTGTCACTTTAAGAGTCTGTGTGGCCGTGTGATCAGGTCTCTGTCCTCTAAAGCTGTTCTAGTCAATGAATTAATATCAGATTATGATACTGATTTACTGTCTTACTGAGACCTGGCTGTACCACGAAGAGTATGTTAGCCTCCCCCCCCCCACTGACCACTGTCAGGAATCTTGGAGTTACCTTTGATCAGGACATGTCCTTTAATTCCAACATAAATCATCCCCACATCTCTTCCTCTCTCTCTCTTTCTGCACTCATTCATGTCCCATTAATGCATGTTACTAACTTCACTTCTTCCCCAGAGTTCTTGTGCTTTCTCGTCTCGTGTCTCCAAGGTCTTGCTCATGGTGGTACTGTTGGGTCTCTGTAAATAATGTTATAAGGAGTTCGGTCTAGACCTGCTCTATATGAAAACTGTCCTGAGATAACTTCTGTTATGAATTGGTGACGTACAAATAAAACTGAACTGAACTGAACTGAATTGTAGTTTAGGTGACGCCTTTAGTTTTTCTGGACTAAAAGGTAACACACGCTGATGGCGGATGACATCCATCAAAATATCTCAAACTATTTATGATATGAGCCCACAAACCTGCAGCGTGACAACATTGACAAATATCAACCCCCCATGATGCTCACCAACCCATCAGGATAAACCACTGTCCTATTTTCCAATGTCGAAACAAGACATCGGTCCAGAAAAACTGAAATGTCATCACCTTTCCTCTGTCACCTGACTACTACTACTGTATTGATCCGCCTCATACCTGAGAGTGTCCAGTCTCCAGTGTGGATCCTCCAGTCCAGCAGACAGCTTTGTTGCTGAGTCTCCTGGATGATTGTAGCTCAGGTCCAGCTCTCTCAGATGGGAGGGGTTGGAGCTCAGAGCTGAGACCAGAGAAGCACAACCTTCCTCTGTGATCAGACAGCCTGACAGCCTGCAAACACACAGAACAACATGTAGTCCGGTGTAAAAGTACAGGGGTTAAAACAAGTTAATTTGAAATACAAATAATTATTTCAGTGAATGAATTAAATAATTCAGTAATGCAAATAAACTGAAAGTAATTTAGGTTAAAAGCAGTGAAAGATGAAATGTTAACCGATAGATTAACATAAATTCATAATAAATAAAGTAGAGCGTAAATAGTTAATTAAGTAGTTACATTAAACTGTTCTGTATAGTAGCTGAAGAAAAGTGTGTGGTAAACTAAACATGAATTTTCAGATTAGTGTCATTGGTTCATGCTGTTTCTTCTCCTTGCTCTCCTTCTTCTCCTTGCTCTCAACGAAGGCGGACGCATCTCTCTCTCCCTCCCGTCTCCCTTATCTTCCTGCTTTGCTTCTCTAGTTTCGTCCTGTCTTGTCTCTAACTTTTAGGAGCCTCTCCCCGTATTGCTCTCCACATTTAAATCATGGAATTAGTCAACTGGTCTCTCAACGCAATTGACAGAATTTTCTCGACGAGAAGCTCGGGTTCGGGGGAACCTGTCTGCCCTGAAGGAACGTTTGCCGCTGGTTACACGATGGACTCCTGGGAGAAGTAGAGGGTCGTGTGCCTGGTGATTCTTTCCGTAGAGGAAATCGAGGATCTCTACATATTCGGAACCATGATAACAGGCTATCTGCTGATTGGATTAGGCATTGCCCTGGTGTATCGGAAAATTCGAAAGACGGTGTCAGCAGTCCAAAGCCCCATGAAGCTGCCCGACATGATTGATGGAGTGAGCAGAGCTGTTAGCGCTCAGACTGTGGGTATACACCGCAACATGGAAAACATCTTGGATAGAGCTGTTAATGCTCAGACTGTGGTCATTAACCGCAACATGGATAACATCTTGGAGAAGTTTTCGGCTTTGCAAAGGAGAATGAATCGATTTGAAGACCAGAATGGACAAACAGAGTAAGTCGTGTCCATTGAAATGCGACTACTCGCCCTAACCCAAACAATCATAATCTAATCTGCATTCCGGCCCTCAGTAGCACCGGCCTTGGCCAAGGCCGCTGCTGAAACAACTCCTCCAGGAGATCGCTGCAGTGACACGCTCTGCCCTATTCCTCCCTCCCTTCCCACACAGACACCTGTTGATAGTTGACTCTGTTTAGGACTGATCAGGGACGTCTCCATGGCAACCTGCTGTGTTATCACGATGACACCATGTGAACTGAGGCACTGATTGAGAGGCTAGACGAAGAGACTCTCCAGGCTTATGTGCACACACGCACCCATGGACACTTACACATGCGCATATGCAACACACCCCTCTACACCTATCCCTCTAGTTTATTTCTAAAACCTGACAGTCCAGAGTTGGGACCAGGAAGCAGAGCTGCTGTCTTACACACTTCTCTGCTCTTCCATTAGAACAGTCACCCACCCAAAACCCCATAGAGACTGTGTCTGTCCCCCGACCACCTAAATTATTTAAAGAAATAAAAACAAGAGGAGTTAAACATAAAAATCTAATAAAAATTAAAACTAACTCCTCAGTAGCACAAAATAAAAGAATGAAATGTGGACTGTTAAATATCAGGTCTATGTCCTCTAAAGCTGTTTTAGTGAATGAATTAATATCAGATTATGATATTGATTTACTTTGTCTTACTGAGACCTGGTTGTCCCACAAGGAGTATGTTAGCCTAAATGTTATAGTGTACCGCGCTCCTGGACCGTACTGTGATTTTATATCTGTTATTTCATTTTTGTTTATCTGTTAACTAAGAAAGTAAATATTATTTGTGTTAAACTGGAAAACAACTGGTTAGTTAACTATTATTTCATTTATTTGAAAGAGTTGTCTGGGGTCAGTTATTTAAAATAGTGTAGAGTACATATTAATAGAGCCACTGCTTAGTCTAACAAAGTTATTCAGTCCTTCCAAAAAAAAGATTTTTTTGGTGATTGTTGCGGGAAAAAATCCTTGATTATGCGACACGTTTTCCGAAAAAACGCAATGGAATATGTGGGATATTTATGCAATTTTATGGGAAGAAATTGCGGGAACTTGCAAAAATTGCGGGAACTTGCAAAAATTGCAGTTTGATGAAAAAGAGAAAAAAAGGTGATTCCCCCAACCTCTCATTAGGCTACTACCTTAATGTAAAGAGTCATTTCTTATTACTTCCTATGATAAGCAAGCATACTATATCACAGAAAGTGCTGGGAATATTTAAGTTCTCATCTTGTTTTATTTCAGACCTTAATAAACACATGGCTCAAACTTACAAAACATTGATGAGTCAAACAAGTTCTGTAGCTTTACAAAAGGAATATGCTACAACTTCTGTAAAAATGAATAACTAAAATATAACAAACTAAAATGTGTGCTTCCTGTTTTACAGAGGTAGCTATACAAAACAGACATTTTCTGTTAAACTAAGTGCTTCCGATGCACAAAGTGCAATCTCTTACTGTAACGTAAATTTACATACTACTGATATACTTACAACTGTAAGGTTTTTTAAACTAATATGATTTCACCCACTGCTAACAAAAAAGTGCAATCTTGTATTTTTGTTGGCAAATGAGACTGATTTGCGGGCTTCATCATGGCTTCATCGCGGGGTTTGCAGCTTTTCGATGATGTTCATGTCGCGTAATTATGTCAGCATATCGTTCCCATGGCAACAGGGGAAAATGGCTGCTCTTGTGTGAAGTAAACGCAACATTTTTCAACTTTCTGCTAAGATATATGTGACTTTTTTGCAACAAAAATGCAGGGATTATGAAATCATGCAAGCCCAGCATATTTTGCGCGGAAATCGGCAATTTATGCAGCGAAAGTGCGGTGTGTTTGAAAAATGCGGCCCTGCATGAATATGCGGACTTTGGCTGATTATGCATTGAATGTGATCGCATAATCAAGTTTTTCTGGAAGGACTGGTTATTCATAAAGTATTAGGCCATAAAAAGTTTCACACAAAACAGGTAAACCTTCGTGGTAGCTACCTTAATAAATTGAACCCAAACACCCATCATTTAATTCCAAGGTGAGTTGCTTTAACTTAAGCATTTACTGAGTGTTGGGGTGCTACAAACACATTACATAATAAACATGTTCAAGGAAAGAGACTCAAACTAAATAAACAAAACAATGTTAGGAAGATTACAATTGTATCCATCAACATAATTCAGGTTTAAAGTGGTTATCAGTTGAACAGGCTGACGAATACTGACCTGAGAGTTTCCAGTTTACAGTGTGGACTCTTCAGTCCAACAGAAAGCAGCTTCAGTCCCGAAACCTGCAGGTTGTTGTTACTCAGGTCCAGCTCTCTCAGACTAGAGGACTGGGAGCTGAGAACTGAGGACAGAGCTTCACAGCTTCTCTCTGAGAGGTTACAGTCACTCAGTCTGTAGAGACAATGATCAACAATAAGAAAAATAACATTTGTGTCCAGCACTTTATCACTCAGCCAAAACCAAAAACACTTTAAATTAGTTCTGTAAAAATGATATCAGCTAGTGAGGAGTTTCTAATGTTGGTGATACATAATAATATTATAATATAATAAATCAGGTTTAAAGTGGTATAACAGGATGATGAATCCTGACCTGAGAGTTTCCATCTTACAGTGTGGACTCTTCAGTCCAACAGAAAGCAGCTTCAGTCCTGAATCCGGCAGGTTGTTGTTACTCAGGTCCAGCTCTCTCAGATGGGAGGGGTTGGAGCTCAGAGCTGAGACCAGAGAAGCACAACCTTCCTCTGTGATCAGAAAGCCTGACAGCCTGCAAACACACAAAAAAACACATTACATAATAAACATGTTCAAGGAAAGAGACTCAAACTAAATAAACAAAACAATTATTTGAGACAATGTTAGGAAGATTAAAATTGCATCCATCAACATAATTCATGTTTAAAGTTGTTATCAGTTGAAAAGGTTGACGAATACTGACCTAAGAGTTTCCAGTTTACAGTGTGGACTCTTCAGTCCAACAGAAAGAAGCTTCAGTCCTGAATCCTGCAGGTCGTTGTTACTCAGGTTCAGCTCTCTCAGACTAGAGGACTGGGAGCTGAGAACTGAGGACAGTGCTTCACAGCTTCTCTCTGAGAGGTTACAGTTACTCAGTCTGTAGAGACAATGATCAACAATAAGAAAAATAACATTTGTGACCAGCACTTTATCACTCAGCCAAAACCAAAAACACTTTAATCTATCAGTTCTGTAAAAATTATATCAGCTAGTGAGGAGTTCCCAATGTTGGTGATATATAATGTCTTTATAACTAACTGACTATAAATCGAAAAGGTAGCAGAGTATTTGAGTGATAATACAGAAATCCAACTATTCCTGTACTTACAGAGCTTTGTTGGAGGCTTTGACCACTGGCAGCAGCTTCAGAAGAGCCTCCTCTGAAGCAGAGTATTTCTTCAGGTCAAACACATCCAGATCTTTTTCTGATGACAGTAAGATGAAGACCAGAGCTGACCACTGAGCAGGAGACAGTTTATCTGTGGAGAGACTTCCTGAACTCAGGGACTGTTGTATCTCCTCCACTAGAGAACGATCATTCAGTTCATTCAGACAGTGGAACAGATTGATGCTTCTCTCTGCAGAGAGATTCTCACTGATCTTGTTCTTGATGTACTGGACTGTTACCTGATTGGTCTCTGAGATCCTTCCTGTCTGTGTCAGGAGACCTTGTAGGAGATTCTGATTGGTCGGCAGTGAAAGACCCAGGAGGAAGCGGAGAAATAAGTCCAGGTGTCCTTGTTGATTCTCTAAGGCCTTGTCCACAGCACTCTGGTGGATATATTTTAGATTCCCTTTGTCTTTCATTAATTTAGACCAACAGGATGTTGTTTGTTGTTCTGCCAGCAGATTGACTCCAGAGTTGATGAATGTCAGATGGACATGAAGAGCAGCCAGAAACTCCTGAACACTCAGATGGACGAAGCAGAAGACCTTGTCCTGGTACAGTCCTCTCTCCTCTTTAAAGATCTGTGTGAACACTCCTGAGTACACTGAGGCTGCTCTGATATCGATGCCACACTCTGTCAGGTCTGATTCATAGAAGATCAGGTTGCCTTTCTGCAGCTGCTCAAAAGCCAGTTTTCCCAGAGACTTGATCATCTTCCTGCTCTTTTTATTCCAGTGTGGATCTGTCTCAGCTCCTCCATCATACTTGATGTTCTTCACTTTGGACTGAACCACCAGGAAGTGGATGTACATCTCAGTCAGGGTCTTGGGCAGCTCTCCTCCCTCTCTGGTCTTCAACACATCCTCCAGAACTGTAGCAGTGATCCAGCAGAAGACTGGGATGTGGCACATGATGTGGACGCTTCGTGATGTTTTGATGTGGGAGATGATTCTACTGGCCTGCTCCTGATCTGTGAACCTCTTCCTGAAGTAGTCCTCCCTCTGTGGGTCAGTGAACCCTCTGACCTCTGTCACCATGTCAACACACTCAGGAGGGATCTGATTGGCTGCTGCAGGTCGTGAGGTTATCCAGAGGTGAGCAGAGGGAAGCAGTTTCCCCCTGATGAGGTTTGTCAGCAGCACATCCACTGAGGTGGACTCTGTAACATCAGTCAGGATCTCAGTGTTGTGGAAGTCCAGAGGAAGTCGACACTCATCCAGACCGTCAAAGATGAACACAACCTGAAACTCTTCAAACCTGCAGATTCCTGCTTCTTTGGTTTCAGTAAAGAAGTGATGAACAAGTTCCACCAAGCTGTACTTTTTCTCTTTCAGCACATTCAGCTCTCTGAAAGTGAATGGAAATGTGAACTGTACGTCCTGGTTGGCTTTGTCTTCAGCCCAGTCCAGAGTGAACTTCTGTGTTAAGACTGTTTTCCCAATGCCAGCTACTCCCTTTGTCAGCACTGTTCTGATTGGTTCATCTCCTCCAGGTGAGGGTTTAAAGATGTCTTCTTGTGTGATTGTTGTTTCTGGTCTGTGTGGTTTCCTGGATGCTGTTTCAATCTGTCTGATCTCATGTTCATCATTGAGCTCTGCAGTCCCTCCCTCTGTGATGTAGAGCTCTGTGTAGATCTGGTTCAGAAGGGTTGGGTTTCCTGCTTTAGCAATCCCCTCAAACACACACTGGAACTTCTTCTTCAGATTGTATTTAAGTTTACGCTGACCAACTCCACCAAAATGTTCTCAATGAAGACAGAAAATATGACCATTAAGTGATTGATAAACAAAATATGACAATTTCATTCCCCTAAAGCAGAAAAATGTTCAGCTCAGATAGAAAATATCTATTTTGTTTCTCACTGAGACTAAAAGTTATGGGGCTAACTTATTGCCACCAGTCATTTCAGTGAGTGGAAGTGGTTGTTGCCCACGTCCAAGCGCACAGATTTTGCTCTGCCGCATTTCACTGTGTTAAACTGCTGGTGGCACACACCTGGGGGCAGCTGCTATTGACAACACGTTTTCTGTGAACCCTTGTGCAGGCAGGTGGCGGTGTGAAACTTTCCATTAAAGAATTACATCACAAATTGCCATAACATTTACATTTATAAAATACTGAAGTTAGCAACACATCAGTCAGAAGAAAAGGAGTGGTCTCTCTTTGTATATTTAAAAGAAATATGATTCTTTTAAAAATTTTAAATACACTGAATTATCATGGCATTGTTACATTTTAATTTGAGTTGTGACCAATTTTGGATTTAAAGAATGAGTATGTGAATATAATTTGGTCCGTCTGTTGAGACATCAGTAAATGTCTAATTTATCCAGCGAGTTAAATCTTTAGAGAAATCCTCTTACTGCTCTGCAGACGGTCAGCCAGCTCCTCCTGCTTCATTCTCCTCAGGAAGAGCACTGTGATCTTCAGAAATGCCTCTCTGCTTCTCCTCCTCTGCTCTTCATCCTCACCATCCAACACCTCCTCATCCTCCCTCTGACTCTCTGAGCATTCTGGGTAATCTGCACTCAGAACCTTCTGGATCTTCTTCAGCTCGTTCTTCACAAAAGTGACAATGTTGTCCTCCAGCAGCTGGAACAGAATATTATATGAATGACTCAATCAAAGTCAAATCATGGAAGCAAACATCAGATCCATGTTGGACAGACTGACAATCCACTGGTCTAAAAAGTGCAGCATGGAGATTATTGTGAACACAATAGATGTAAAAGTCGTTGTTGTCCATGCACAGACCATAAATATGGAGTCCAGGTGTGTTTGATGCTGCTGGGCAGACTGACCACTGGGAACCTCTGAGCTCTCCTGGTCCACTCTGTGGAGGAATCATGAAGAATGAGCTCACATTATGTCTGTCCACACAGAGACAAACACAAGGTAAAGGTCCATGAAGTGATATTTGGATGTGAACAGTGAATCTGATGACTCCCTGTAGTGGTAAAGGTTTACTAGTCCTGCTGATCCCACTGAGAATCAACAGCTCAGTTTGGTTCAGTCCCAACAGCTCTCACCAACCCCTCCATATAGCTCTCCCTCCCTCACTGTACACTGCTGAAGTGTCCTGGAGCAAGGCACCGAGCCTTTAGCTGCTCCAGTGGAGCTGCTCAGTGTCTGCTTGTATCACACTGGTTGTACTGGTCAGCTCCCAGTGTGAATGTGTTCAGCTGCTGCTGAAAAAGAGTGTTGGTGCTCAGAGAACTTCATCTGAGTCAGTAAAGGTTTAAAAACTGGAGATCTCACAGCTGAGAGTCTGATAAAAACACATCATTTTATTTTACCAACAGTTTGAAATCCTCACCTTTGATCAGCAGAGTGGCGGCCATCTTTGAAGTATATAAGAAGATCCATAGAGTCATCACTCTTTATGGACACACAGCTGGGTTCAGGTTCAGGACAGTCTGGTCTCTGATGGATCCTGATAGAAAGAAATTCATTAAAGCTCACATATTCAGAAACATTCTCACTGAATCAAAGACTTTGTGAAACGATGTATAATTTGAAATGTTTGAATACAGGGCTGGACAATAAGAACAATGTCTTCAATTACTGACATTATGGACGTGTTACTGAACACAATTTACTGATGTCACACACTTCAACACACTGTCTGAATTCCATATAATTAAAGTAAGAGCAGCTACAACATCTAACCAGCGAGCAGTGATGGGCAAGTTACTTCCAAAATATAATATATGTCATATTACTAGTTACTTGCATTTGAAAGTAATAAGTTTATTTACAATATTACCTTCTGTGTAGAGTAATAAGTTACTTATTACTTTTTAGTTACTTTCAACAAAATCAACATTTAGGACAAAGCATTACAAAATGAAGACACGCAATATTTTGTCATGGCAAATAGTCCTCAATTAACTGTAGTTCCTCATAAATATAGTTGGGGGGGCAATATTAAAGTCTAATGAGGTCTATATTGCATCTGCAAGTAATGTAATGATATAGAATAATTAAACAACCAAAACCTTTACACGACATGACACAAACAATTTTTCTATGCCTCATTTATTAGCTCATGAGTTACAAAGTGCGGCCACACAAAGATTTAACAAAAAAGTTACATTTCCATTAAATTAAACATGTTAATAGTTTATACTATTTCAATAATAAAATAAAAGTGCACTTCAAGAATGAGGTCTAACAGCCACCAGACAGGGCATGTTTTGTAATTAAGTATTTTAGAAGCTGAGCATATATCCTGCCCTGAAATAGCAGTAATAAAAAGAGCATGAGAACAGCATAAATAATGAATCACATTCAACATTTCAAAATATAGCTCATTTCAGTCCCACAGAGACTTTACAAGGAACTTATGCTTACAGGTTTAGCTTACCGGACTCAGTAACTGTAATAATATTACCAAAATATAGTGAGTAATGCATTATATTACTCCGTTACTGCCTAAACGTAATACCCCAACATCTAAGCAGCGAGCAATCAGCTCCCAGGCCAGTCCAGAAGAGCAGAATGTGGAACTGGTCAGACTGGAATGAATCAGGACAAACATCAGCAGTGAGCAACATGAGGAAGGAAATCTGCTCTGATTGATTCAAACACATGTTACTGTTACATTTCTCATTATGAAGCTGAATGTTTCTCCGGATACTGATTTGAGATCAGATTGTCCAGCCCTGTTTGAATACTGACAACTGTGTACTTTAGCTCAGATAAATGTCTTTGTTTCAAATGGAGAATCAAAGCCTTTGTGACATGGAGAAGAGTCATGGACAGTTAGAGATCCTCATCTCACCTCTGAGCTTTGGTCCTTGTGTCATGTTCCCCACACAGAGTGCTTTTAGAGGGAGGGACTCCCTCCTCTCTGTCCTCACACTGATTCATAGCAGAGCCCACACCTTCACACAGACACAGCAACATGCTCATTCATTACAGCAAGCTTTACATCACAGAGACACATTAGTTCTCATTGCTCTCAGTAACATGACACAAATATTCAGAGCTGACAGAAATCTTGTTGGAGCCATAAACAGGCTCTGATAACATCAAAACCTCTTACACAGCCCCCAGATTCACACATAAAGTATGTTGACCACAAAATATACTTTACACATTTATGGGTCACAAGAGAAAATAAAGGTCTGTGTCTTTAAGTGACGGCACCAGGGAGGAGCTAGGTGGTGCTGTAGCTCCCCCTTTAATAGCCATAGCACCCGCCCAGCACCCAGAAGAAATGTCTCTGATTTTAACTTAATGTCATGTTTGAATAGTCTTTTTCGTGTTGTTTAAAAATGTGAATTAAAATAATAATTAAAAATATATATTTTAGTCTAAATAAACATGAGGAGCACACATGTGATCTTAATTGGCCAATGGTCGCAGCGTCCGGTGAACCTTTGACCTTAATGTATGGCAGCTTGTTATTGATAGCGAGTTTGGAAATTTAGCAGAGTAAAATACACCAAAATGGATCGTTTTTTGCTCCCTAAACGTTCACGTTCTGAGTCACAACCTGAAGGGAAACAAGACTGTGAAGTTCTATGGTAAGTACATGATTTTCCCCTCTGTTGGCTTTTACAAACTTACTAACAATAGGAACACTGCTGATTCATCATTAGACCAGTGTTGGTAACTGGCTGTGTGATTTCGTGATCTGAGCATTTTAGGCCGAAGCGTGCACAGTGTCTGTTGCCTTCTGTTGCTGCTGTTTGCTGCTCCGTTGTATTCAGGGCTCGACTGTGACTGAATTGTGTGAAATATTATTTTCATAGGTTTACATTGGCAGGGTTATGTATTTTGTATCTATAGCCATTGTGTTGAATACTTTTACATATATATGCTTATTAGTCGTGGAACGAGTATAGTCAATGCGCGTGTGTACGTCTATATATATATATATATACCAAGGGTGGTTCGATGCAACCTCCATAATGAAACACCCCAAGCCGCCACTGGTGTCTCTTTACATCTTATAATCCTATATTTAATGACAAAAATTTAACAGAGAGACAGAACAGTTCACATTTTCTACGCTTTGGAGTGCCCTGATAGCTGAGGGGTCCTATGCAACCTCTTAGTCCCCTTAGACCCTTGGCTGGCTCTGGTCCATCTAGAAAGGACTCTGGGACAGTTGAGACCTGGACTGTGCTAAAGGGTCTTCAGTGAAACCAGCTCAGTGTCAGTGTTAGAAGGTTTCTGTATGTGAGCTCTCAACTCTTCATCCATGCTCTTCCCTTCAGAGTATTAACAGTTAAAAATCAACCTCAGCCAAGGTGCTTCGAGCTGTCAGACCAGTTCAGACACATTGTTCACTGATGATGTGAGCTCAGGTTACAATCAAACTGCGTCTGATTCTACTTGACAAACACTAACAACATTACATGTAAATCTTTCTAAAAGCATCGTCCTTTAACTCAGAGAGAAATTCAAGTACAGAAAGCAAGTTTCAAAGATATATTCTGAAACAGCTCATCAGCATATGGAAACATTTCTACTGTCCAGATAAACAGAGATACAGCACAATGTGATCAAAGTCATCCTGATGATCAAACATTTACACATTTCTCTGGTAGGATTCTCACCTGCTGAACTCACTTCAGGTCGACTTACAGACACTTTCTACCTTCACGTGTGGAGGAAACACTGGGAGAGAAGAAGCTGCTCCTTTCTTCCTCGTCAGTCCTGGTGTCTGTGTGCATTTTATCTGAGGACGCCATCATACCCTCAAAACTTCACGGTCCAAGTCTAACAAACACCAGAGTGACGTCAGAACCAGTTAAACAAGAATCAGACTGCACCTTATCAAAAGCATTTTTATTGCCTTCTTCCTCTCCCTGAACTGTCTGAGTGTTGGGGATATGTTTGTAATGTTTCAGATCCATTTTTCCTTATAGTTGATGAAGGCTGCAAGAACAAAAGTGCTTTAAACCTCTGAATACATTGTTGGCATTGAAATAGAGTCGCACCTTTCCTCTATCTACAGTCAGTGTCAGAGAAATCACTGATCAGATATGTAGTTCCATGATCTGTCCATTAGATGGTGCTAATTAATCATACAGTGAGCTAAAGATCAGAACTATGTGATGCGGAGCATACATTTGTATCACATGTTTAACATTATTACATATTTAGGAAAGGTTCAGTGTGTAAAATTTAGTGGCATCTAACAGTGTTGTTGCAGATTGCACCTCACTAGCTTCCCTCTCTAATTCCAAACACGAGGGAGAAAGAACAGTGGCTGCAAAATGCCCACCATTGGAATCAAGATTTGTCCTTTCTGGGCTACCGTAGAAACATGGAAGGAGTCCCGCTCCCTCTGTAGATAAGAACTGCTAATTTTAAGGAACTAAAAACACAATGTTCAGGTATTTATACACTAATAAAAACATACCTATGAATAATATATTCCATTTCTGACAATAAATCATTCGCAGTGTTACACAGTGGATCTTCACAAATGACAAAAAATTCTTATTTATGAATATTCTTCTACAGTGACTTCAAGTCTCAAAATCCATCTGCATGACGTCAGAACCAGTTTAAACTGTGGCAGAAACCCAGTCAGTGTCAGAGAAATCACACATCAAATGATGTAGTTCTACTATCTGTCCACTAGATGGTGCTAACTGACCATCTCATTAAATAAAGATCAGCAGAGCATCATCTGCTGCTGGCAATTATTTCTGACTATCAACAGGACTCTACAGGTCAGAGTGAACCAGACATTAGGCTCATTCGAGATGAACTGCAGCTGTAAAGAGGACAAGATGAGGCAACAGCAGCAGGAGGTGGTGACAAAAAGCTGCAGTCAAGTCAGGCAGTTTTCAGCATCCTTCAAATAACATAGATAAAGTAAAAAAAAAAAACAGTACATCGTGTTAATTCCACCTGTAGTTTTTAGACAATTGCTTGGACATTGTTTCATATTCTCAGTTGCTCTAAAAACTACAGCCACCTCATACATGATGTCAGAGCAGTTTAGCATCATTAATGGTAAGGTATTATATATATCCGTACGGGATAAAGTCTGTTTTTGTTCCACTGTGAACGGTTACAATCCAGATATATGTTAAATATGTATTGGATGAATTAATTTCAATGGGAACAAAATTTCTGTTTATCAGTATGATGTTACATTAATGATTGAAGGGGTTTAATTTAATAACATATTTTAAGAGATATTGAAATCAGTTGAGGGATATTGAGACCATACTCACCACATATTGTTGGACACACTGACTAAATGCACAACTAAATGCAATCATGACAGCAATACAGTGATTTATTGTTTCATCTCTGGACTGGTTGCAGTAATGGTAAATGGACCTGTACTTGTATAGCGCCTTTCTAGTCTTCCGACCACTCAAAGCACTTTTACACTACGTGCCACATTCACCCTTTCACACACATTCACTCAGTGATGGCAAAACCCATCGACCAGAAACTAACGCAACCAACAACCTTCCGATTAGGGGACGACCCGCTCTGCCTCGGCGCCACCAACTGGACTTGAGACTAATTGAACATTACTTTTTATTGCACTGTTATATCCTGTCTGGGTCTGGTGTCCTTCTGATTGTGTAATGTATTGTGCTGTGTGTGTTGTCTCTTCTATTTGTATTTTATCTATTTATTTGCTGTCTCTTCTATTTGTATTTTTTCGATTTATTTATTAGGGACTACTGATGCAAATTAGCAGCTTTGCTATAATCCGGCATGTTTACAGAGATGTTTAAATATCGATGTTCATTAATGTGCACTGTCCCTATCCAAAAATAAAGCATTTATTATTATTATAATTATTTGTCCCTCAGCACTTTGTTATTCCTTTAATTCAGCTTATATGAAATAAGGAAATAAGAAATAAGACTTAATCTAGTACAGGATCTGATTCTTAGTGGTTTAAAAACATGCTGTGGTACAACACAACCCAGCAGACCAGAACAGAGCTACATGAAGGTGTTTTAGACCAGTTTAGAATTTATTTTGACCTTTTTGGAGTTGTACAAGCATAAATATACGTTTGCACCGAACTTAAATGATAACAGATTCTTTTGTTTCTTCTGACTTCCTGTCTCCTCACAGTGGCCCTCACAGAGCAGCTGCTGTCTTTAACATGTATAACCTGACTATGTTGGGATTGTAAACTTTATCTGCAGCTCAGCAGCTTGGTAATCAATAATATTTCTATTTATCCATCTTCTCCTTCTCTCTCCACTTCACTGACTGACAACATGAAGTTTTGCTGTGTATGTGTTAACGTCAGAAAGTAATAAAATGTAGCATTATTAATTAATTTGAAGTGAAAAACAAATACACTAATATAGCTCTGATGCAGCCTCTCGCAGTCTCCCTCAATGTCCCACCTACAACACTATCTGACAGGCAACACATTACAAATGATAGTAGAGTCATAATTCTTCTGAGATAAGTAAGTAGGTAAAGCTTTATTTATATAGCACCTTTTTGACACAGAGATCCAAAGTGCTTTACAAACAACAAATATGGATATAACCATACCCCATCACACAAACACAGGGAACATGTAAATACAAACATAAGGAAGATAAAACAAGGGGGAAGGATGAATTAAACGAGAGACGACAGATGAGAAACAAACAAGGAGATCTATAAAAGGCTTGCCTATAGAGCAGCCGCTTAAAACAGTCCACATGCGTAGATCTTATCCAGACGAACAAAATATTAAATGAGGGATTTGCCATTATGAATTGGCGCTATACAAATAGAATAGAATAGAATTGAATTGAATTAATGCCAACATGTCAGTTTGATCACTTTTATATTTGTTGAATAATTCTTTATGGAATGATTGATTTCCTCACTACAGCTGCTCCACAAGTTCACCTCTTTAACACAAGGGATTTCTGACATCAGTCCTTAAAGCTGCAGATTCCTCTCAAATCATTTCAACTTTCTGTCATTTCAAACTACTTTTGGACTCTTTCAGCTCGTCATTAGTTTCTGACTTTATACCTGATCTGTTCTGTTCATTGAACAAACAGCTGAGTTGGTTCTTGATCAGTAGTTTGGTTTACACTTCTTATGTCTCTCTGTTCAAATGTAAAAATCTGATTAGTGTTTGTTTTATATGAGTTTCCCCAAACGAGCACACAGTCAGTGATGTATGGAAGTATGAGTGAACAATACAAAGTGGAGAATGAAGCTGGATTTAACTAATCCTTCATTTTATACAGTGTTGGATCCATTTGGACAGTTTTACTTTGACATCATTTAGATGTGGTTTCCAGCATCATTTATTATCTAGAATCATCCCAAAACTTTGATTTCTTTTGATTTCAACCTGACTTATCAAAGTTTGTACATTTGTTCCACGATGACCAAAGATGATGAATTTAGTTCAAATCAAAGCCACTCTTTACACCTTGGAACTATTTTTACACAGATGCTGAATTTGATCCTGAAAGACTCTTGTTTGACATTTGAACACATTGTTTCTTCACAGAAACAAAAGTTTTAAGGCAACAAAGTTCAGTTTTAGACTCAAAGTTGAATATTTGTTCACACTTTAATATTTGAGTCATAAAAACACTTTCCCTCTAACTGTGCTTTCAAAAAGAAGAAGATTTGAAAAACAAGCAGCCACATTTGATCCTAAAAATGTTCATTTTTCTCAGAGTTATAGAAGAAGATCAGTTCTTTCTATCATTTCTTTCATCTCTACGTCTGCAGGCTGCTCATTACCCTCACACATGATCCCTTCATCCCAGCATCCTTTGCTCTTCTCTTCCTTCAGCCTCCTCTTCCTCCTCTATTACAGTAAACACATCAGGTTGGTACTAACTAACATCAGCTGTGTGTGATCCTGTACAGACTGAACTATCTGGTCAGCAGTGAGAAAGTTTCTCTCTCCCTCCTACAGAGGACACAGAGACACTGAGGAACTGTAAGACCCGAACCTAAACCCAGGATGAAGAGGTTCAGTGAATGTGGTGTTGAAGGTGTGGAGGTGGATCAGTGTGTCAGAGGAGACTGTGTAGAAGGACAGAGTGCCAGCAGGACAGTCCACATACACTGCTACTCTACCAGAGGAGGAGGAGGAGGAGGAGGAGGAGGAGGAGGAGATGGGTGTTCTTATGTTGTTGTGACGGACAGAGTAACGACCATCAGAGTACTCCAGTCTCCAGGACTGATCAGTCCTTCCAAACACACAGTCTTTACTGTTTCCTCTCCTGCTGATTCCTCTGTAACTCACTGATATATAAACTCTTCCTCTCCACTCGACCTCCCAGTAACAGCGACCAGTCAGACCATTTCTACAAAGCAGCTGAGACCAGCAGTCAAATCTGTCTGGATGATCAGGATATGGCTGATCCTTCTTCACTGATGTCATCTTCCTGTTGTTGTCAGACAGTTTGATCTTTCTGTTCACTGTGTTTGTGTCGACTGTGAGTTCACAGGAATCTGATGGAGAGAACAAGACACAATACAGCTGCAGTTATTGATCTATCATCTGATCATTGATTGACACTTTGATGATGACATCAGAGCTGTGAATGAGTGATGTCACAGTGTGAAGATGGTTGAATGTGTGCTGCTTTGTTTTCACACTTACACTTCCTCAGACCTGGTCTCAACCATCGGACTCCAGCAGGCTCCACCCTGAAAGGAGGAGGGGGGTCAGAGCAGCATGGAAACATGGACATTACATCGCTCTCATACACAGAGCTTATTCTCTACAAATGGACTTACATCTTCACATGGAGCACTTATTATTGATCAGCTGATAGTCTTTCAGTTCAGTGGAGCTTCTTCTTATTGGCCGACAACTAAAAAGTAGTTGTGTCTAATGTAACCAGGTTGAAAGTATTTTAGTTTGAAACAAAGTCCTGACAAATATCCAAGAATCTGAGTTTGATGAAGTTCATAACATGTTTTGTACATTTGAACAGTATATTTGAACTGAAGTGTTAATACCTGTACTGTCACTTTAAGAGTCTGTGCTTTGCTAACTAGTTCACACTGTGAACAGATTAGAGCTCAAACTGGCCGTGTGATCAGGTCTCTGTCCTCTAAAGCTGTTCTAGTCAATGAATTAATATCAGATTATGATACTGATTTACTGTCTTACTGAGACCTGGCTGTGCCACGAGGAGTATGTTACCCTAAATGACCCCCCCCCGTCATATTAATACTCACATTCCTAGCACCACTGTCAGGAATCTTGGAGTTACCTTTGATCAGGACATGTCCTTTAATTCCAACATAAATCATCCCCACATCTCTTCCTCTCTCTCTCTTTCTGCACTCATTCATGTCCCATTAATGCATGTTACGAACTTCACTTCTTCCCCGGAGTTCTTGTGCTTTCTCGTCTCGCAGGTTCTCATGGATCCTGGTGGAGCCTCAAAATTACTGATATTATTATTATTGTTATTATTATTATTATTATTATTATTATTATTATAGTTACTATTATTATTGTCCATTGTTGTTGTCATTGTCATCATCTTCTTCATGTTCATCATCATTATCAGTCATTTCTATTAGTATAGTTGTTGCTGTGCACCTTTGTCTCTGACCTTCTCTACCATCCAGAGTCTGTCTTTCTCAACTTCTGTTATGAATTGGTGACATACAAATAAAACTGAACTGAACTGAACTAAACTATATTTTGAATTTTGTATTTCTTAATTGTATTTTCCAGTGTCGAAACAAGATATCAGTCCAGAAAAACTGAAATTTCATCACCTTTCCTCTGTCACCTGACTACTACTACTGTATTGATCCGCCTCGTACCTGAGAGTGTCCAGTCTCCAGTGTGGATCCTCCAGTCCAGCAGACAGCTTTGTTGCAGAGTCTCCTGGATGATTGTAGCTCAGGTCCAGCTCTCTCAGATGGGAGGGGTTGGAGCTCAGAGCTGAGACCAGAGAAGCACAACCTTCCTCTGTGATCAGACAGCCTGACAGCCTGCAAACACACAGAACAACACATTACATAATAAACATGTTCAAGGAAAGAGACTCAAACTAAATAAACAAAACCATGATTTGAGACAATGTTAGGAAGATTAAAATTGTATCCATCAACATAATTCAGGTTAAAGTGGTTATTAGTTGAACAGGTTGACGAATCCTGACCTAAGAGTTTCCAGTTTACAGTGTGGACTCTTCAGTCCAACAGAAAGAAGCTTCAGTCCTGAATCCTGCAGGTTGTTGTCACTCAGGTCCAGCTCTCTCAGACTAGAGGACTGGGAGCTGAGAACTGCGGACAGAGCTTCACAGCTTCTCTCTGAGAGGTTACAGTCACTCAGTCTGTAGAGACAATGATCAACAATAAGAAAAATAACATTTGTGACCAGCACTGCATCACTCAGCCAAAACCAAAAACACTTTAAATTAGTTCTGTAAAAATTATATTAGCTAGTGAGGAGTTCCCAATGTTGGTGATATATAATGTCTTTATAATCTCTCTAAGTTGAAAAGATATCAGAGTATTTGAGTGATAATACAGAAATCCAGCTATTTCTGTACTTACAGAGCTTTGTTGGAGGCTTTGACCACTGGCAGCAGCCTCAGAAGAGCCTCCTCTGAAGCAGAGTATTTCTTCAGGTCAAACACGTCCAGATCTTTTTCTGATGACAGTAAGATGAAGACCAGAGCTGACCACTGAGCAGGAGACAGTTTATCTGTGGAGCGACTTCCTGAACTCAGGGACTGTTGGATCTGATCCACTAGAGAACGATCATTCAGTTCATTCAGACAGTGGAACAGATTGATGCTTCTCTCTGCAGAGAGATTCTTACTGATCTTCTTCTTGATGTACTGGACTGTTTGCTGATTGGTCTGTGAGCTACTTCCTGTCTGTGTCAGCAGACCTCGTAGGAGATTCTGATTGGTCTGCAGTGAAAGACCCAGGAGGAAGCGGAGGAACAAGTCCAGGTGTCCATTTGGACTCTGTAAGGCCTTGTCCACAGCACTCTGGTGGAGATATTTTAGATTCCCTTTCATTAATTTAGACCACCAGGATGTTGTTTGTTCTCCTGCCAGCAGATTGACTCCAGAGATGATGAATGTCAGATGGACATGAAGAGCAGCCAGAAACTCCTGAACACTCAGATGGACGAAGCAGAAGACCTTGTCCTGGTACATTCCACTCTCCTCTTTAAAGATCTGTGTGAACACTCCTGAGTACACTGAGGCTGCTCTGATATCGATGCCACACTCTGTCAGGTCTGATTCATAGAAGATCAGGTTGCCTTTCTGCAGCTGCTCAAAGGCCAGTTTTCCCAGAGACTCAATCATCTTCCTGCTCCCTGGACTCCAGTGTGGATCTGTCTCAGCTCCTCCATCATACTTGACGGTCTTCAGTTTGCACTGAACCACCAGGAAGTGGATGTACATCTCAGTCAGGGTCTTGGGCAGCTTTCCTCCCTCTCTGGTCTTCAACACATCCTCCAGAACTGTAGCAGTGATCCAGCAGAAGACTGGGATGTGGCACATGATGTGGACGCTTCGTGATGTTTTTATGTGGGAGATGATTCTGCTGGCCTGCTCCTCATCTCTGAACCTCTTCTTGAAGTAGTCCTCCTTCTGTGGGTCAGTGAACCCTCTGACCTCTGTCATCATGTCAACACACTCAGGAGGGATCTGATTGGCTGCTGCAGGTCGTGTAGTTATCCAGAGGCGAGCAGAGGGAAGCAGGTTCCCCCTGATGAGGTTTGTCAGCAGCACATCCACTGAGGTGGACTCTGTAACATCAGTCAGGATCTTAGTGTTGAGGAAGTCCAGAGGAAGTCGACACTCATCCAGACCGTCAAAGATGAACACAACCTGGAACTCTTCAAACCTGCAGATTCCTGCTTCTTTGGTTTCAGTAAAGAAGTGATGAACAAGTTCCACCAAGCTGTACTTTTTCTTTTTCAGCACATTCAGCTCTCTGAAAGTGAATGGAAATGTGAACTGTATGTCCTGGTTGGCTTTGTCTTCAGCCCAGTCCAGAGTGAACTTCTGTGTTAAGACTGTTTTCCCAATGCCAGCTACTCCCTTTGTCAGCACTGTTCTGATTGGTTCATCTCTTCCGGGTGAGGCTTTAAAGATATCTTCTTGTCTGATTGTTGTTTCTGGTCTGCCTGGTTTCCTGGATGCTGTTTCGATCTGTCTGACCTCATGTTCATCATTGACCTCTGCAGTCCCTCCCTCTGTGATGTAGAGCTCTGTGTAGATCTGGTTCAGAAGGGTTGGGTTTCCTGCTTTAACAATCCCCTCAAACACACACTGGAACTTCTTCTTCAGATTGTATTTAAGTTTACGCTGACAAACTCCATCAAAATTTTCTTAATGAAGACAGAAAATATGACCATTAAGTGATTGATAAACAAAATATGACAATTTCATTCCCCTAAAGCAGAAAAATATTCAGCTCAGATAGAGAATATCTATTTTGTTTCTCACTGAGACCAAAAGTTATGGAGCTAACTTATTGCCACCAGTCATTTCAATGAGTGGAAGTGGTTGTTGCCCACATCCAAGCGCACAGATTTTGCTCTGCCGCATTTCACTGTGTTAAACTGCGGGTGGCAAACACCTGGCAGCAGACACTATATAAAACACGTTTTCTGTGAACCCTTGTGCAGGCAGGTGGCGGTGTGAAACCTTCCTTTAAGCAATACATCACAAATTGCCATAGCATTTACATTCATAAACTACTGAAGTTAGCAACACATCAGTCAGAAGAAAAGGAGTAGTCTCTCTTCTATATTTAAAAAAAATATGATTATTTTTTAAAATTTTAAATACAATGAATTATCATGGCATTGTTATACATTTTAATTTGTGAGTTGTGACCAATTTTGGATTTAAAGAATGAGTATGTGAATATAATTTGGTCCGTCTGTTGAGACATCAGTAAATGTCTCGTTTATCCAGCGAGTTAAATCTTTAGAGAAATCCTCTTACTGCTCTGCAGACGGTCAGCCAGCTCCTCCTGCTTCATTCTCCTCAGGAAGAGCACTGTGATCTTTAGAAATGCCTCTCTGCTTCTCCTCCTCTGCTCTTCATCCTCACCATCCAACACCTCCTCATCCTCCCTCTGACTCTCTGAGCATTCTGGGTAATCTGCACTCAGAACCTTCTGGATCTTCTTCAGCTCGTTCTTAACAAAAGTGACAATGTTGTCCTCCAGCAGCTGGAACAGAATATTATATGAATGACTCAATCAAAGTCAAATCATGGAAGCAAACATCAGATCCATGTTGGACAGACTGACAATCCACTGGTCTAAAAAGTGCAGCATGGAGATTATTGTGAACACAATAGATGTAAAAGTCGTTGTTGTCCATGTACAGACCATAAATATGGAGTCCAGGTGTGTTTGATGCTGCTGGGCAGACTGACCACTGGGAACCTCTGAGCTCTCCTGGTCCACTCTGTGGAGGAATCATGAAAAATGAGCTCACATTATGTCTGTCCACACAGAGACAAACACAAGGTAAAGGTCCATGAAGTGATATTTGGATGTGAACAGTGAATCTGATGACTCCCTGTAGTGGTAAAGGTTTACTAGTCCTGCTGATCCCACTGAGAATCAACAGCTCAGTTTGGTTCAGTCCTCACCAGCTCTCACCAACCCCTCCATAGAGCTCTCCCTCCCTCACTGTACACTGCTGAAGTGCCCTGGAGCAAGGCACCTAGAACCTCCAGTGGAGCTGCTCAGTGTCTGCTTGTATCAGACTGGTTGTACTGGTCAGCTCCCAGTGTGAATGTGTTTGACTGTGTGAGTGTGAGGCAGCTGCCGCTGAAAGAGTGTTGGTGCTCAGAGAACTTCATCTGAGTCAGTAAAGGTTTAAAAACTGGAGATTTCACAACTGAGAGTCTGATAAAAATACATCATTTTATTTTACCATCAGTTTGAAATCCTCACCTTTGATCAACAGAATGGCGGCCATCTTTGAAGTTTATAAGACGACCCATAGAGCGATCACTCTTCATGGACACACAGCTGGGTTCAGGTTTTTTCCTCCTGATAGAAAAACAGGATCAGTTCTGCACTGCACCCACAACACACTGAGACAGAACCAGTGACTGAATCCACCGACTGTACACAGTGTATTTGTACCCAGGGAGTTCTTGGTTGGGATTTCTATAAAGTCAGTGTTTGATTTAGACATGTTTCACTGTGTATTTTAAAGCTGTATTCAGTGCAGTGTGTAGTATAGGCGGGGAAATGATGGAGTGGAGTGACCATATCGGTCCAATTAGGATAAAAAGAGGAACAGACGTGGTGTCAAAGCAGTGAGTTTCTATAAACTGCTGCAACTATTTGTTCACTGTGAAACTGAGGCTGTTGTAAATTCAGCTGATCAGACACAAACCATCAGCGTCCATTAAAAGACATTTTAAAACATTTAAAAATAAAGATTTCACAACGGAGAGTCTGATAAAAATACATCATTTTATTTTCACCATCAGTTTGAAATCCTCACCTTTGATCAACAGAGTCTTCTTTGAAGTTTAAAGGAAGAACCATAGAGCGATCACTCTTCATGGACACACAGCTGGGTTCAGGTTCAGGACAGTCTGGTCTCTGATGGATCCTGATAGAAATAAATTCATTAAAGCTCACATATTCAGAAACATTCTCACTGAATCAAAGACTTTGTGAAACGATGTATAATTTGAAATGTTTGAATACAGGGCTGGACAATAAGAAGTGTCTTCAATTACTGACATTATGGACGTGTTACTGAACACAATTTACTGATGTCACACACTTCAACACACTGTCTGAATTCCATATAATTAAAGTGAGAGCAGCTACAACATCTAACCAGCGAGCAATCAGCTCCCAGTCCAGTCCAGAAGAGCAGAATGTGGAACTGGTCAGACTGGAATGAATCAGGACAAACATCAGCAGTGAGCAACATGAGGAAGGAAATCTGCTCTGATTGATTCAAACACATGTTACTGTTACATTTCTCATTATGAAGCTGAATGTGACAGTTTCTCTTGATACTGATTTGAGATCAGATTGTCCAGCCCTGTTTGAATACTGACAACTACGTTCTTTAGCTCAGATAAATGTCTTTGTTTCAAATGGAGAATCAAAGCCTTTGTGACATGGAGAAGAGTCATGGGCAGTTAGAGATCCTCATCTCACCTCTGAGCTTTGGTCCTTGTGTCATGTTCCCCACACAGAGTGCTTTTAGAGGGAGGGACTCCCTCCTCTCTGTCCTCACACTGATCCATAGCAGAGCCCACACCTTCACACAGACACAGCAACCTGCTGGGAGAGATCACACATTATTTCCCATCATTCCTCTCAGTCACATGACAAACACAATCAGCTCTGATTGGAGGGATTAGTCGACTCGCAGCAACGTGAACTCAGTTTTATGTTAGAAATATACAGTGTGGGTCCCCAGCATTTAGAAACTGACAGATTCCAACTCAATTATCATTATTAGCATTAATAAGCATGTATGTATGTCTGTGTGGAGAATATTTCAACAGATACTATAGTAGTGGTTTTGGGAGTTGCTGAGGATGATGGATCAAATTCTGACATTTACAAAATACAAAATTGCACTTTAATTTTAACTCCAGGTTCACTGATTTTGAGGTTCTTTATATGCATAATACATTGGAACTGCAATTTAGGAAGCTCTTTGTCATTGATGTTCAGATATTTTTTCAAATTTCTGCTGGTGTTCTTTTGCTGTGCAGCATTTTCTCATTGACCTGTGTCTCTGCAGCTGTGGTTATGTATTAAGCAAATAAACCGAGCTCCCAGAGACTTTCTACCTTCATCTGTAGAGGAAACACTGAGAGCAGAGCTGAAAGCATCAGTCCAATCACTGATCAGCACTGAGAACTCATCATCACTCATTCATCCTTTACATCAGTGGTTCCCAACCTTGTTCTATCACTGAGTAAACTGACGACCCCTGACTGAGGGACATATTTTATACATATTTCATATTATATCCAAAACTGTACAATCAACCCAAATATTGAACTCAGTGACTGCAAGAAGTTGAAGTTGATTCAGATGAATTCTGAGCAGATTATTTCCTGTTTAGGGAACTTTTTATACAGTTTGTCTGTGTTATGTATCTTTTATCATTTTTAACAATCATAAATACTTTATATGCTTCTTTTTGGACAAATTCAGTGTTTTCTTGTCCCTGATGTTTGGTCATTGATCTATTAGACAGTTTACTTTACATTGACTTTTCTTCACAGAAGTGAACCAGATGCTGAGATATAGGCCGACCTACAGACCCCCCATGAAGCTTTGGTGACCACTAGTGGGGTCCCGACCCTCAGGTTGGGAACCACTGATTTACATAATTTCTGCTGTAAAACTATCAGCTGCTTCTCCACTGATTGGCTGCTTCTCTCTGTTTCCTCTCAGTGTCAGTTGAATCCCTTTGTCTTGTTGGACTGTTGCTCAGACTAAAGAAGCAGTTAGAAAACATGACTGTGAACTCTGGGAACTACTGATGGCCTTTTCTCATCACTGTCACACATTGCAAACTAATCAATACATGGATCAATAGTGGTTTGTTATTGGCCAGAGGAGATGCTGCTGGTTCTCATTGGTCAGTGTTGAGGAAGAATGAGAGCAGAAAGCTGCCATCAGCTGCTCTACTTCTACTATCAGTCCACTAGATGGCCTCATGGAGCTGCATTTATCTGACAGCTTTACTTCCTGTTTACTTTTCAAACATGGGATCAGTTTATAAAATAGAATTCATTATTTTACATTCAAGCAGCCAAAAGTATTTGAAGTAGTTCATATTGGCTCCACCTGCAGCAACTCCAACATTAAAGTACTGATGAGGAAACTCTTCCTCCATGTTGGTTCTCAATTGACTGTTAGTAGAGTTTTCTGCTCTTTCTACTGAACTAAACTAACAAGATGAACAAACAGTGAAAAGTGTCTCTTACTAACCTTCACATGGACAGAAGAAGAAGCTGCGACACGACGAGCTCACAAAGTGAAAGTTACCTGTGGACAGGGAGTGGCTGTGATGTCAAAGTTGTCAGGGCAGGTGTCAGGTGTGGGGGATGGAAGAAGGGTGGCAACTTCCTTCACATCAAAAAGGAGGACACTTTGCATACACGGGGACACGCAAGCAGATATTTGTTTGGTATGATCCGGTTTTAAATGTTAATGTTTTTCCAGCAGATTACATAAAGGTGCATACACATACCACATAGCTAATAATAAATATACAAGATACAGCTCATGACAACGTGCCCTTCCAATTCAGATTACATAGGTCTAATAAACATCATACAGAAACTGTTCTTAATGTTTTTATCTGGGGATAAAGGGCTTTGTCTATCTACATCTGAGAATGAGCATTTTCAGAATTTCAGTCCAACAACCGACGTTAGCTCACATTATGTTCTCTGTCTGAGAGTTTGATTGACAGCCTGGTGGTAACCTAGCAACTGTGGTGATCCAGTGGCCAATCAACACATGGCTTATTTGAATATTAAAATGAACCATGTGTTGATAGGTCAAGACACAAAAATGTAACCAATGAAATTACTTATTTTGACACACATTTTTAGCCAATTGTTAGTTATTTTCTCTAAAGGAGGACAGATGAGTGTCAGGTTTAAGGCTGGGCCGGACGAATGGCCACCCTAGATGGAAGTGAGATAAGACTGAGTGAGTGTCTCCAGAGAGAGACTGGGAGCTTCAACTACATTGTGCTGATAATACTTCTGTAACTGAGGAACTTTTTAATGCAGGACTTTAAGTTGTAATGGAGTATTTCTGTAGTGTAGTGTATTACTACTTTTACTATTTTCAGCTTTGAACTGTTGGTCAGACAACATTGTGTCACTGTGGGCTCTGGATGATTGTAACGGGCATTTCATATATTTTAGATTAATGACAATAATAATTAGTCACAGTCCTTCCTCAATAGTAGAAATCAGCTCCACCTGAGCAGCTACAACAGCCAAATACAGCAGTAATAATAATCTAATGATAGAATATAATATAGTGTAACACCTGTAGTTCCTTACTCCCCCTCAGGGTGTCCTGACTCCATCTTGTGTTCCTCTAATCCAAGTCTACAGGAGGACGGACTGGTCCCTGAGGCCTCTGGTTACTGGTTGAGGGTCAGTCCCCATACTGGGGTCAGAGGCCCGACCCTCCACCACAGGGAGCTTTAAACCTGCTGTGTCGTGGGGAAAATCTCTGTTTTCAACCCCAGAGGAGAAGACCTCCAGTTGATCCTACTCTCTATGATCTCTTCTAACCTCTGACACTCTCCAGTTTAAAGGATATCACACATACAGAAAGGCAGTTCTCATCATATATGACCTCTGTACAATGAACATATACAGATATCAAACATTTCTGATGCCCAACTCAGTGAGTGCCTGTATAAGTCCTTTATTTGTCTCTGTGGGGCAACAACAGTAACACAGGGTGAGACATACAGATAGAAAGAAAGACAAATGGAGCACATAAACTGATCTTCAGTCAGCAGACAGCTGGCAGCAGATATATCTACACTGTGAGGATAAAAAGACGACAAAACTGTAATTAAATTTCTTTTGATTATAATAAAATCAAACTATGATTAATGGAATAAAAGGAGGGTCATCCTGAGTTCTGTTATCATATGCAACCCAGCCAGGTCCATTCCACCAAATCTGTGCCAATTCATTCAGCAATCTATCTAATAACACATATTTACACATGATTTGGCATTTTTCAAAACAGGAAAAATAATTTCCTGCATCGTTTTAGTAAATTGATTAAATGTAGCCACCTAACATTAATGTTAATAGCACGAGAACACTGAGCACCTTCAGGTCGTTTATCTAAAAAAATAAAAATAAATCTAAGAAATAATTTAGTAGATTGAACTGATGCTACTTCTTTTTGATCATGTTCCTCGTGAAATGTCCCAAAGACCTGGGAGTGACAAAGGGTTCCGGTGGCTGTGAAACTGTGTGAATGGACCTTTCTAAAGCCAGTGTTTGGTTCGTCAAACCTCCTACATTTTACACACTGGACCTTTAACCTCACCTTCTGAGCAGTTTCAGCCTGCTGCCAGTTACTTATAAGACATTTTGCTATTACCTCCTTACTAGTTATTCAAAAAGATGACATAAAACAGTGACAACAATGCAAGCCTGTGATTCCTTCATTACTGTTACTTCACACACTGAGGTGATCACCAACACAGTCCACCACTAGCAGAAATTATACAGTCAAGAGTTCCTGCCACTTTCTGGACAAACAGGACCTCCATGAACCAAACACCATCCAACACCAGATGTCCCAGAACCTCCAAACTGTGTTCAAACTTTAACAAATACACTCAAATAATCAATAATAACATATCTGATACTGAAGAAGGGTTTAATACAGAAAGACATACAGGATGACAAGATAAACAGATGAATTAGAGCTCAGAGGTGTTTCAGTTGGACGCCGAATTCATCTTCCTGTCTCTAAACCCCAGATTTAACAGAAAAACTTGTGTTTTGACTCGTTGTATTAATCTGCAGACTCTAATATACAGCCTACTGTCAATGTTCAGACTACAACAGGCCCTCCTCCATACACTGCTCATAGGCTGACACCTGCTGGTGACTTTGTGGAACTGCACGGAGGTCTTCTTTGTAAGTTGTAATATTGACT